TATTTAGGTATAAATTTGATTTTTATAGCTTAATTGACTATCTTTTATTTCTTTTTTTTTATATTCTTTTTTTTAATGTTTATGTTTTAATTATTTAAAATAAGGAAAATACTATCACAACACTTATGAAAGAAATTTCACGACTGTACATTCACAGGCGTTACATACATATTATTAACATACGTACATATTAATAAATAAAAATTAATTTATACATACATCCATATATATATATATATATATATATATATATATTTTTTTTTAAAAAAATTTAATTAACTATATATATATATATATAGTTATAGATTAAATTTAAATAGTCACTTGTTCGTGAATCGCGCGTGCGGTAATATTAGTGAGCGCTAATAAGGACGTACTATATTAATACTCACAGATGATCATCTAAACGTAGTCTGTAATTATTTGCTATATTTAAATCTTTATATTTCAGAAAGTATTGTATAAAATAAAAATTTACAAATAACTTTTTTTACTTAATTTTTCGAAAATTTTTAGGTCATAGAATTTATAGACCACTATGTACGTTGTGGATGTTCCAGAAATAGATGGCCGAACTTTAGTATTATACAATATTTTACTGTCTCTCTAAGAATAAAAAGAGATCATATAGACATAGGAAATTCTTTTTGAGATATAAACATTTTTTGTTTGTGACAGAATATTTTAAAGCTTTGTAACTTAAAGAAAAAAAGAATTGCTGAACTTCCTTATTATGTTTCACGATACAGACGCTAAGCTTCTCCGCAGTTCCAATTAGCTTATCTATACAAGAAATGAATATCTGCTTTTTCGATATTGTAATAAATAATCTCGATAACACTATCTGAACCATACAACGTTTAGATAAAAACTAATTTACTATGCTTTCGATGTATCACTTGCTCTACTACAATATTTACTTCATGTGATATCTGTTCATGTAAACTTGTAAGATAAAAAGTGTTTATATCAAAAAGAAAGTTTCCGGACCTATGTTTATATGACCTTTTTTCACTCTTAGTGACCGTAGAGTACAATACTAAATAAAGTTTAGCCACAAATTTCTGGGACATCCAGTATTGTATGTATACATACTACATATGGATATATATATATATGTATATATATGTATATATATGTGTGTGTGTGTGTATATATATATTTATATCAAAATAAATATTGATTGTACAATCATATTTTTATTTTATGAAATATTATTAAATATCTAGAAAAATATAATTTTTATAATAATAGGCCAAAAAGTACTTTATATACACTCTCGGTTTTAATTCCTATTATTAAATTATATTTATAGCGACCTGGTTTTCGTTACTTTTATATACACGATATATTTATATTTTATATATTCATGTAAATCAAGATCTCCCACTTCAGAGATGAAATGTATTCAACGCCGTGAATGATCGAACAAAAAATGAAAAAAAACTTTCTCGAGAGTGCATAATGTCTGCTTTTTTTCCGCTTTTTGTGGGTCGTTCCGCGTACCTGTTTCGCGTACATGTAGGTTGTAGACATACGTACACGCCGGCATGCGGAACGGCCGGCACACACATGACGCCGGCGATCATCCGATATTACGTCACCGTCGCCCTCTCGCTCGGTAGCAGATAGCCGGCCCGTTCTATCGTCGTTCCGTCCATCGTGGCCGCTCATACATATCTGCGACACGATAAAGCGCGATAAAAGCAAACGCGACGTAGTGCACAAGTGAGTGTCAATAAATCATCCTCTTCAGGAGTCGCGCGTCTCCGATTTTTCCGATTATCAGATCGACGCGCGATCATCGGCGCGATAAGCCTGTGATCGCGCGAGATCGCGAAAATCCTCTCCCCTTCTCTTCTCCAGAAAAGAGAGAGAACTTGGTGCGGAATTTCCCCCCCCCCCCCCCCCCTCCATCGTTTGAACGACGTCGAGACGCCCGGCAAGTTTTGAAGACCGGAAGGCGTGGCTGTCACGCACACAACGGTAAGACGTCAAGCGGTGTCATTTTTATATAGGAGTGCATTTTCTTTTCCGTTTCACGCATGATGGAAATGATGTGTCATTTTATATTATTGTTGTTCATCGAATATTAAAAAAAAGGTATAAAAATGATATACATCATGCACGTCGTGCGTGAAATAGAATAATGTACCTTAGGACTGCGACGCAAACGAGCCGTGGAATTCTTTGCATTCCGTATGTCGTCGCTCCGGCGTGTGTCACGAGACACGAGTGTCGTGTTTCCGAGGATGGATGTCATTGATCGATGCAAGGCGACGAGGAAGCCAAGAGCGTTTTCTTGCGACTCTTAGAGCGTTATTGTCATGAGCTAACAACGACAGTTCTGTTCTCTATATAAACGCGCTGTTAACACTTTCCACATTAAAAATGAAAAATACAGCGAATTCGGTCACTTATTAACTACGTTAGATTTTAGTAAGAGCTAGTGTACGTGAAATTAGCAAAATTAAAGATATATAAATATTTTAGGCGATTAACTACTTATAATAATATATTAGGTGTAGTAAAAAGATATCCATTATTTTTCCAATAGATTTCATGTAAAAATAATGGATTTCTTTTTACTACACCAATAATATTATCACGTTATTTAACAGAATGATGTATATTATTTCATTGTAAAAGTTGATTATACATTTATCACTGCATTTAGATACAATTCGTAATAAGTATTATAACACTGCAGTCTCTCTCTCAAATAGAGTAACAGGAGTCATAATAAAATATAATATCATCATGGTCTTATTTATTACAAGTTCATTTTTAAGTAACAATTAATGACGTTCTGCGATATTGTTATGACTCAATTATGATAATTCTGTGTTCTATCTGAGATTAGACGTTATAGATTCGTTTTTATTCCTGCATTAGACTTTAATGAGCAAAATGTCTAAAAAAACCGATAATAAGATAACAACAATTTTAAGATATCTTTGAAGTCCAAGACACAATGCGAGGGAATATCGGGGATAATTATCGCTATCGCTATTCCCTCGCATTGTGTCTTGGGCTTAAAAGTTCTTTTTCTTAAAAAGAAAACTCAAGATAGTTATCTTATTGTGTGTCGATCTTATCATTCTGTTCATTAGAGCTCTCTTGCTTTTGTCAAATGTCATATATCTATATCTCACTTTTAAATTTCAAAAGTGCACATTATAAAAATAAAAATTCGGTTACAAAAAATATATACTTATTTAACGTTCTATCACGTGAACGACGGTGGGAACGTCGTTGTTCGAAATTGATTTTTATTGGGAGAGACGTCCGATATTAATTAGTGCACAGTTAATTCGATGCCGGCGTAACGGTATGCATCATAAATAAGAAACTATAGAGAGAGAAAGAGAGAGCGGAAAGAAAACCGCGTTGGCGACAACGCGGCATTTATGAAGCAATCATGCGCGTTGCATAATGCGCACAAAATCCCACAAAGAAACTTGCGTACGTGGCAAGGTTTTGAAAAAACAGCTTTATGTTTTGTTGCCGAGCGATCGAGAGCGCACCCAGACTATTCAGAGGTAGCAAGCTGACGTTAAAATAACGGCAGCTATAACGTCAATTTGCTGAATCCTATGATTTCTACACGAAAAAGATCGAGCTTGTGTGTTTTCTAGAAAAGGAATCTCTTTTTAAATCTCACACACATAGTCAAATCAATATTGATTCAGAACGTTCTTGAATATAAGAACAGACTATAAGTGCCGGCCTATAGAATTGGATTAAGTTAAATTAAATTTTAATTTAATTTAAATGTTACATTTTATTTTAAATCATAAATCTCAATTCATTTTAATATTGAAAGAATATTGAAAAATTTATTGCAACATGAATCCATTTTTATCATGCGAGCATTCCTGAAGTCTACATATCTTGAAGAGCTATCTAATAACATAACACACATACCTACGAAGTTATCATCAGACTAAACATTTACAATCACAATAGGAATAACAATTACGATTCTTGAATTGCATTAGATCTAACGTTAGTTTAATATATAAAAAATTTCATAGAAATTTGATACTAGTACTGGTCAATTAATTATTTATTTTGTGAATATTAAAAATATTATTAACAGTAACTTTTAATATTCAAAATGTGTGATTAATTAGGCAGTACTGGTTAAGAGGTCACATTTCTAGAAAGGTAGTGTTATATATATTTTTATAGTATAGAAGAGTGTTCTTCTGAATTGTGTGACAAACTTAATATATTAAAACAATAGTCGAATTAACTCATTTTTCTGTCAAATATGGGTTAGCCAACACTCATTCATAAATCGAAAGTATCACTAAAGTCGAGCGCAGCAACACGATATTCTTCATTTAATGCACGTGTTTTATACGTATCAAATTAGTACAGTTTAATTTTAATCTCAATTCACAAACTAACTCTTTTTCTACTCCTAAGAATTAGAAAAGAATGAAGAATAAGTTGGAACTAAGATCAAAGTTAATCTACGCGCATTGATATAGAAACGAACATTTATATATATATAGCTGCTCCAAATAGGCGTCAAGCGTGTCCTATCTGTAATGGACTTTCTACAGTAAGCTGTAGCCTTAAAAAAGTTGTAAAAATTGACCAATCATAGTCGTCATTCTTCTTATATTAAACTGTGATTGGCCAATTCCTTATTCTCGCAACCTCATTCACTACTGCAGTATTGCTATGTAGACCACCGACCACGTATAAAGCTGGCAACACAATGAAAAAGCACAGAGATTTCAACCTATCGGAAATCATGTAGAACGGACGTTTTCTGATGGGTATAAATCTCTTATATTACCTGTTCCTGCTGCCTGTGTTTTTTCATTGTGTTTCCAGCTTAACTGTCCGCAAGCCGGGCCTTGCACTCTTTGCCATTTCTTGTGTGAAACAAAGACAGATGTATGGTCGAACGACGGAATGAGAGTAGGAGGGAAGATGAGTAGGTGCGAGGGGCGCAGCTACCGAGAACAGACCTATCGCAACGAGCGTCTGCTGGGTCAGCTGTCGAGCACTGTCGGGCGTCGAGGCAACTTGCTGGCACACTGACACGTTGCAGTTCCTTCACTGTTCTTCACGGGGAGTGCGTCGCGGACCTCGTCGTGTTTCGTTTCGAACGTCAGTCGACATCTCGATCTCTCGTCGGGATTCAAGTTGACCGGAGCAGAAAGGGAGAAGAGCCCGAGGGGGTCGCAATTTTTCAACTTTTTCTTCCCAACTAATTTTCTCGAAACGGGATCGCATAACCAGACCAAATAGCCATGTGAGTGCCGAACGCGAGCGATACCACCCAACCTTCCCTTATCGACGATTGCGCGTCTTACGTCGCTCGGCTGTTCGCGCTAAACGCGGCAAAAGTTGTATACGCTGTGAATGACGTGAAATGTGGTGAAATGTGTGAATCTCCTTTCAACGAAACGACGCGGGCCGCGAAGCGTGCGTGACACGCGGCTTGCAGGCGCGGGCATGACCGCCGTGTGACGTGTCGTCGACGACTGGTAGATCGAACCGGTAGATCGCGGATCTACCCCGACCGCGCTCGTCCGTCGACGCGAGGATGCAGAAAACGCGGACTCCGACGCTCGCTATCTGTCCACGATAGTATAATTGCCGTTGCGGTTTGTTTCTATTTTAAACTGGAGTCAGTTTTATCTTACGTTTTTCCACGAGCTACGACGTTCCATTCACGTGGAACAGCCGCGATTATTCGATCGAAACGCTTAAATTTTCTTGCATAACGTATCGATGGCCACGTGTTCCGTTACGATAGATCCCACGTCGTAGGAATCTTGAACTGCAATTCCGACAGATGTCATTTGCTTGCAGTTAAATCAAGGCTGCATGGCAACGCCGTTGAAAACTTAAGAAAATGTCCAGGAAGCGTACCAGGGAGGAAACTATGCTGGCTACTGCGTCCCACCAGAATAGCGTTAATGGAGAAAGCGCGTCCTGCTCCAGGGAAAATTCTCCGGTTCACGCTGTAAGCATGATCGATGGTGGCATTGTCATTTGACCATGGAAACGTATCACATTACAAGCCACCTTAATAGGAGCCTTAAGTCCGCAAAACTTTCCCAGAGAAATCTATTTTTACTCCAAATTTTAACAAACAACTTTTTTCGTTGGATCACATATGTATTTAAATATGTATATTTGTGTATCATATCGGCTGTAGATTAACATATATGCATATATACATCTTAAATATTCAGTTTCGCCAGACTATATCTCATTAGAATGTATCAACATAGACGCATGTGTTTATTTGTAAACTCTGTGTACGTATAGTCTATTATTGTTATATACAATATTGGAGAAGTCAATCATTAATACGTTGTTTAGAGATAATGTGTAATATTGCTTTTAACTGATAATAGTCTGGCGTGATTCTAGATTGGCATATCTAACATGATAAAAGCTTGGGAATGTTTTATTGCTCCTACAGTCTGGCTCGGTCATTAAAAGTGAAGTCACATTAAATTTAAACTATACCATATATATATATATATATATATATTGAGAGCAATTCAACATTTATTTATAAAACTTGTACATATTTTTTACGGTTGTATACTATCTGAAAGTAGCTAAATGCAATCTTTTTACTTTTAAACATCAAGTGTTTTTAATATAAAATATTGATGACAACATTTGAGATAGTATAAAAATTTTGTTTCTATTATAAATAGAATTGTTTTAAACAAACAATGACTTGGGGATCTAAACAGAATTGTAATGGAGGTAGCAGTGCAAATTTTATGTTTCTAAAGGACTATAATCAAATTTCTGTTTGTCAGGAAAGATTACCAGTAAGTTTTATTTCTTGTTACATGAATCATATATTAAAAATATTATGTGATATAATTAATTGAATTAATAAACAATGAGGACAATGTAATCGTGGTAGTATAATAATTTAAATCTTGTCACATTCTTGAATTTTTGTATGCCTCAAACACGAATTAAGAAACGTGATACATTTTTTTTCTTTTGACATCCATATCATAATTTTACACAAAACGTCAATTGTGTTTCTTTTTTACTGAATAGATATTTATTACTTTGTTAATATATTATCTTGTCATTTATTTTAGTCAATTTGTAAAGAAGCACCTTTCAGTGACGATCCAGATGCTATCATAGAGAGGAATGCATGCGATTATAACACGCGAATTACCTTAAAACAAGCAAGAAGTGGCAAAGGTAGATTCTTATTAAAAATATTAAATATTATAGAAATTTTTTAGTTTTACACAGATCACTTAACTATTTTTTATAGTTCCTAGGAAAATTAGAGTTTATGCCGATGGTATTTATGATCTCTTTCACCAAGGACACGCACGGCAACTTCTACAAGCTAAGAATATTTTTCCAAATGTTTATCTTATTGTTGGAGGTAACTATGCAAAATTGTTTAGAAAAACTTTATTATGACATATTTATTATACTTTGTTTTTGTTTATTATTGAAATAAAATAAAAATATACTTATTGTACATCAATCAAATAATTTTCTTTGCAGTATGTAATGATGAATTAACGCATAGCAAAAAAGGAAGAACTGTAATGACAGATTTGGAAAGGTATGATGCTGTTAGGCATTGTAGATATGTAGATGAGGTTGTTCGAGATGCACCCTGGGAATTAGATGATGAATTTATAAAAAAGCACAAGGTACATTCATATTTATACATCTTTACATTTATATATCCAAATGCTGCACGTTTTATTTCATAGAAATGATATAAATTATGTTGTATTACAGATAGACTTTGTTGCTCATGACGATATACCATATGTAACAGATGATTCATCAGACGTTTATGCTAAATTAAAAGCAAAAGGTATGTTTGTAGCCACACAAAGAACAGAAGGGGTTTCCACATCCGATATAGTTGCGAGGATAGTCAAAGATTATGATATATACGTCAGGAGAAATCTCGCACGAGGTTACAGTGCAAAGGAACTTAATGTGTCTTTTCTCAATGTAAGTGATTATCTAATAATGTCACTTGCTATACTTACATTATTGAACTTAAATGTGTTATGGTCCGTATTTTCAGAACGCGCTTACAATGATGTTAGCGCTCTAACATGCTACAGTTTACGTTATGCATACTATAGAATTTCAGAGATAAAAGCGCACTCTTATCAATAAAAACGCGTTCTGAATATGGATCTATATATATGGTTATGTCGAAAGAAATATACAAAATATTGTAGTAATAAGTAAGAATTAGTTACAACGAATATGTATTATAAAAAATGAAATCTTACAGGAGAAAAAATTTCGCCTACAAAACAAGTTTGATGACCTAAAAGATAAGGGAAAACGAGTAATGGAAAATATTGGTGAGAAGCGAATGGATATGATAAGCAAATGGGAAGAGAAATCTCGGGATTTTATTGATGCCTTTCTTCTGCTCTTCGGAAGAGAAGGCAGATTGGTATGTATATGTGTGGGGATAATGCTTTTCAAATATCTTTTTTAAATTATGTATAAATTACATAAAAATATATTAGAATTTTTTATTTATGTTTGTAGTCAACAATTTGGCATGAAGGTAAAGGACGCTTAATGCAAGCGTTATCTCCACCAGCAAGTCCAAAAAGAGACGGTAGCCCAAGTAGTAGTAATAGTAGCCATGATGAAGATCAGACAAGGTTCGTTTTTTTTTTTTTTAATACACTTTATGAAACTCTACACATTTAGCTATATATAATCTTAATTTATATATTTTATCTACCTCTTACAGTCCACCACCAAAGAAAACAGGACGCTTTGAATTTTCACAAAGTAATCACTATTTAAGTGATGATTACAGTGATGATGAAGAAGAGAATCTACACTCCAAATGATAACTAATTACATTAAAAATACATATATTCTCTCTGACCAAAACGTGCAATTTTTATTTATTATCTTGAAAGTTTAGATGTATTTTCATACACGAACTGCTGATGATATGCTTAATGGATTTTGTATGATATTAACTAGCACTATATATTAAACAAAATTGCCTGTTGTGATGTGAGAGTTTAGTGTGTTTTGCAGATTTATCAATTAGATTATAAAAATTATAATAAACGATACGTGTAGATTATCTGAGCCATGTATTACTCAATATTTTTTTAGTGTTATTGCTTTTGAGATGTTGCTACACCGCTTGGTTCCTATGTTACTTAATGCAAATGAATGCAATCATTTATCTTTAATTTGGTACTGTCTCATAATGGAAAATTATGATTATTACATATTCATATTTTTAAAGCATGAAATGTTGATTAAAGTTATATCTAACATAAGATACATTAATGTACTATTATTTTATGATCAATTTTGTACAGATTTTTATAAAATAATAGTTAATTGCATAAATAATTTATTTTTTATTTTTGGACATACAAAATTAATTATATGATTTAATTTAAATCAATAAAATTCATGTCATGATAATTAAGTTTTATATCAATTATGGTGATATATGTTATATATGAATAATAAGTCATACAAAACGGATACTTTTAGGCTCACAGATTGCAAATTTTTATTGTATTTTGTATGCAAGTGTAAGAAATAAATGGATGTTTAGGAAATATGGTATGTAGAAAATTTTAATACATCACTTTATCGATCATATTTAATCCTTCGTGATCATATCTCTTAAAAATCTGTAATATTAGGGTCCAATCTTTTTCATGGTCGATAATAATTGCCAAAATATGTTGATCGATAATAATTGCGATAAAAGTTGATTTGTAAAATTTTAAAGTCGACGTACGTTTCTGAGTTCATAATAAGCGTTCAGAGATGCTGAACTGCTCTGTCAGAATTTTTGCGCGTTCCGAAAACCATCGAATGAAAAAGTGTTGCAACTGCTTTTAGGCCTTTTAGTAACCGACTGTACACGAGCTCGTGCTTGTGCGCGTGCTACCGATTGCGCCAGGCCGCCGACCGATGGCGCTACCATCGAGGGGGCTGCAAGCGGGTTGGAAATCGCATCACTGCCTTGCGGCTGTCGCCTGCGCGATAGCATTTTAAATGATCGGCGACGGGACGGACGAGTGTCGTTGCACGTCGAAGACGGGAGCTCGGCAAGATTTGCGCGTACAAAGGGGAGAGAAGAGAGGGCCGATGTTGTAACGTAAGGGGCCAAGATGGAAGAGCGTAGCGTCCACGGCAGTATCGGCGATATAAATAGTGCGGAGACGACCAAAAGTAAGCGCGAATCTGTCAACGTTAAATCATCCACGGCGCCGTCAAACGGACGGGAGAGGACGGTGACGTCGTTGCGCGGTCGATTCACCACCTCCGTCGAAAATCCTTAATCCCTGTGTGATTTTGAATTTTTCGCGTTCGGGGCTTTCCGAATCTCGCGAATCCGCGTCAACAATGATCTCGCATTTTTCACGGGTAACGTCCCCGACCGTGTGAACGCGAAAACGGAAGCCCACGAAGACCATGTATACATACAGTTTTAACGAACCGATTCGTCATCTGCACGTTCAAACTTTGTGAAATTTACGACTCGGCATGGTCAATCAATGTCACGGTATCGTACCTTTCGGATCTTTCTAGATGAGCGCTTTTGAATTGTCGCTCTTAAAGAGAAAAAAATATAGAAGAGAAAATGAGAGAAAGTCTTTTTGTAGCTCACGTCCGTTAGTCTCACAAGCTCGGCCTTGAATTGTCCAAAATTATATTAGAGAGACAAATGTGGTGTCTCTCTTTCGGTGACGAATGTCCTTTACGAAACTCCTTGAAAATTACAATGCTGTTTCTCGCAGTAATTCGTGATTCGCTCGTTTCTGTCTCTGCGTCTCCCTCTTATTTGTCTCCCTCTCTCGTTCTGTTGTTCTCTCTTTCTCGCTCCCTCTATCTACTTTCTTTCTCGCTCTCTCTCTCTCCCTCTCTATCTATCCATCCTTCGTGCTTTTCGCGAGTTAATTATCTTACGCCGAGCACGTGAATGGTGCGTACAGATGTATACATGTATACGCGACTTCCCGTTGCCTATGATACGAGATTAGAGCTTGTGTACTTTGTATAACAATGTTTGAACTTTACAGGCACGCTGACACAACTAAAAATAGTGTTTTCTAACAAATCTTCCTAGCTTGTCGAAGTCTAAGTGATTTATCGGTGAACGAAAATTTCGTATTTATTCATGTGCACATATGTAATGTGAATGCACACATCTATAAATTCATAATCACTGAGACACAACTAATTATCATCCTTAATTATGTCCTTCATCTAATAATATTTTTTTTACAATTATATTATATTATAACATAATATATAATATATAATATAGTGTTTAAAAAATATTTTTTATTAAAAATATTTTTTATTAAAAAAAATTGTTAATAGTAAAAATATTTTTTTTACAATTTTTATTTTCTTATATTATATAATTAAGTTATAAAATGAAATATTTAAAGAATATCTCCTGCTCTATTAAAAATTTTCATTTAATAAAATTAATGCTGCTATAATAATTTAAATAATCAGATGTAAATATAAATCATTAGTAGTGCCAATGATAAAAGTTTAATGACAATTATTTGTTATCAGCCTTAATAATACCACGCAAGAAGAGGATATGCTTAGTTGGTGCAACCTGTAATGATCCTGCGCTTAATGTTGCTGCTCAGCAATTCAAAGTGCCAATATTTAAATCTGAAACTGGCACAGAATATATTGAAGACACTACCTACAATACCTATTTTATACTCAAACAATTTGAAGGATCCGAATATGATGCTTTATGCAAGAGTGCTCATAGGTTTGTACATATATATTGTAGTTAATATATTATAGTTTGTAATGTTTAAAATGGTTGAATGTATCTCATTTATAATTCTAATATTAAACAAAAAATTCTAATGGTTATTCGTTTGCCTTACATTTTTTTAGAGTACTGGGACCTACGGCTTTGCTACAATTGGCAGAGAAAAAAGAACCATTACCCAGTATTAAAAGACCAATGTACACACAAGCTATGGTAGGCACAATAGTGGTATTTAGCGGATTTCGGGCTAGAGAGGATGAACTGGTCAGTCCATTATTTACAATTTTTATAATGTTATTAATTTATGTGTATTTCATATTTTTATAAGATATTGTATTTCTTAACAGCGCAAGTTAGCTAATATGATTCTTAATATGGGAGGCAGCATCCGAAAAGAGATGGGTATTAAAGTGACGCATCTTATTGCAAATCATTGCAGTGGAGAAAAGTACAGATACGCTGACACATTTGGATTGCCTATCATGTCGATAGAATGGGTGATAGCATTGTGGACTGCCAAAGACGATATCTCCACGTATGCGAACAATGAGGAATTGGTAAGTGTTAGTAGAGATAATAATTCCAAGATAAATTTTAATAATTTATGAAAATGTTTGATTAAATAAAATAATTAAAACATTAATTTATAATAATTATAATTATTTTATTATGTATAACATTCAAATAAATTCTAATTTTTAATTTTAATATATAATTCTAGCGCCTTTAAGGCACTAACACAACGCGCAATTTGCTGAGTGCCACTGAAGGTAGCAATAAAAAGATAAAGAAAATACGCATGTGTATATGTACGTGAACAAACAATCGTAGTGCAGAATCTGCATTGTATATATATATATATATCTCTCTATTGCTATCTCTGAGCGCTTAGTATGATAACAAAGCGATGTAGTGTTCTCATTCGAGTTTTAATGGTGACATTATGATAAGAATTTCCTTAGTCTTAAAAACACACTTAATTCTAATTACAGATAGCAACTTACAAGCTAAAGCCATTTTATGGGGCAAAAGTATGTTTTTCTGGTTTTCCTGAAGAAGAGAAGAAACATATGTGTGAGGTTCTGGAACAACAGGGCGGCGAACCCACTGAGATCGATGATCCGAGTTGCACTCATGTCGTAAGTTAATTCGTATAATTTTTACATTATTTATAAATAATTTTCTGTATATAAATTTATTTATATGACACTATATCACATATACAAACATTTATGTATTACATAAATGTACACATGCTTTAGGTGGTAGATATATCCGGCCTTTTCTACAAGAGAGCAAATGTGGACTTATATCTTAAAAATACATCCAATAATCTACCTTCCTTAACGTATATTAAACCAACTCCTTCTTCTCTTTATCCTTATTCAAACGCAATTTTTAATACAACAAAAACTGATTATAGTAATATATCGAGTTATCCTTCATCGAAAAACAATTCATTGCTTTCGTATACACATGATGTAGAATATAATAATCAATGGAACGACCTCGTTTCCATATATGATATCAGTCAAGATTCTGCTATTAGTATGAACGATAATTGTCATGATTTGCAAAATTCAATTATTAAATCTGGAAACTTGTACCATTCTTTCACAGAGCAAAGTGATTCTGGTGTAGACATAACCAGATCATCTAATTCATCTTCAACGATTTTTATGTCTAATAAATATTCAGTTCCAATACCATCGACAATTAGAAACAATAAAAATGTTAAATTCTATATTTCTGAAAGTTCTTTGTTTGATAACGGAGTATCTCTTTGTGAAAATTTGTCAAACTTTCCAGATAAACTAGATGATTTAAAATCGTTACCATCTTACGAAAAAAATAACGAATATAATCCTTGTGTGTCACCAGTAAGCAATAATACATTATCTTTAAAATATCGTAAAAATATTCATTACGTACAGAATAATACATCAAAAAGTAAAATAATTCCCAAACGATATATAAAATGGAGAAAAACTAATTCTTGTACATTTGTTCATAAAATGGCGACGCTTGAAAAGTATAAATTTATGAAAACGCTCTCGTATCCGAATATATTGAAACATAACGAGGAACAATATAGTGATACTTTTTTGCACAATTCATTAGGTGAAAGAAATAGGCATTTATCTAAATCACACACATCTTTTTTCTCAAAAATTAGTCATTTCTCTTTCTGTCCAATACTGTCTGACAGTAGAGAAAATATTTCCATCAGTTCGTGCTATCGTCCTCCCGAGAAAACTCTTTTCAAAAATAAATATACATCATTATCCAAGTCTTTCCCAATGCCTACAAAAATTTCAAATACTAAACACAACTTACAAAATACTTCTATATTTGATGGAAAAAATAACAATGTATCATCTGCACCACATGATTTGAAAACCGAGTGCTCAGATTTGAAGATACAGGATAAATTACTCGTGGTATTTATTTATTTATTTTTTTGTTTGTTTGTTTGAAAGATATTACAAAGGTTTAGCAATTTTATCTGTGAAGGAAAATAATTTTACTTTTAATTATATGTGATGTAAAAAGAAGCGACTTACAAAGTATATACAGTATTTACTAATTTAAATAAAAAATATTTGATGGACACGGAAACACACACACACACACACACACACACAATACATAAGTTAAATTAAAAATTAATTTTTGTGATATAGATAATTTATTCATACATTTCTGTTGTCTCATGTGAACGTCCTGTTTACCTAGAATTCATATTTATATACAAAATGTTCGATGTGTACATTGTATATGTGTATCAATGTATGGTATATACAGTACATGATATTGTCTTTTGAAAATTTGGTGTATGAAAATTGTGATGTACACGTGTTGTACAAAATTTTGTCAAATTGTATAATTGTCTAGTGACTATACATCCGACTGTAAATGGTCCACCGTAATAAAGTATAATAATGACAATGTTTTTACAGGTCGTTGATGAGTCCAATGTAAATGTACTACCAAATTTAGTGTCAGTATCTGCATTTATAGTCAAAACCGGATGGTTTTGGACATCTGTACAGAATGAGGCAGCCGCTGATGAGAAAGAATATCTATTTGAACATGTAAGTTAATAACAATAAATTTCTTAAATATTCTTATTATTGTTTGATAAACAGAATTGTGTGTTGTTTAGTATCTAGAAAAAGTTCTGTCTCCTACTGTGACGGGTAGACGAGACAGTCAACAGATTGTATCACAGAATGTAACATTGTCAAAGCACCCCTGTTGGTTAGGTGGTCCATTATCTAATTTGTTACAAAATGGAGCAGATTCACCAGCCAGTGTCAGTGGAAGCTTTTTGGATTGTACAGCGAGTCCAGATAAACAATTGTTAGACGGTATGCATTCAACATTATTTTTTTCAGTTTTACACGCGTATTTAAATCTGTGTATAAGATATAATATATCAAAATAAAAAAAAAAATTTAAATATATGTTGATTAACACTTACAATAAAGTTACCAAAATGATACATTATTATTTTGATATATCAATAAATAATAGTTTGGTGTCTCTTTTGAACTGTTCATTAAACATAATTAAGTATTAATATTTTTTGTGTTATAATAAATTAATTTTTTATCAATGAAATAAAAGTGCTCTTTTAATATGATACATAAAAAGTTTAATTCGAACAAAATTAGAATATCAAGGCTAAGAAGCTGTAAAAAGTTTAATGTCAGATTGTATTGCAAAAATTAATATTTAAAAATGCAATATATACTTTTACTTGTAAAATGAACCAAATGAAAAGGAAGATTGTATTAAAATTATTTATTGCTAATTCAACTATTTCAGAGGTAGAATCTGTTGCTACAGAACATTTACCGATAGTTAAAGAAAATTTGTCGCAACGTCATAAAGTCTTTCTTGAATTAGTAGAGACTGAGGCCAATTATGTAGGTATCCTTAATACAATTATGACGGTAAGTATTTGTATATTAAATCATTATATATTTCTATTAAAATTTTTAATATAATCTACATTTATATAATATTTTACAGCTATTCAAATTGCCATTGGAAAATCTCATAGGTAAAAGTGGGAAAGAGTTGCTAAACAGCACAGAAGTAAAAATTATATTTGGTAATTTTCCACCTATTTATGACGTTCATAAACAGTTGTTGGAGGCATTGCATTGTAGTGCCGCTCATTGGACAGAGGACATCAGTATTGGCGAAATATTTCTAAAGTTTGAACCAGATTTGGTTAAAGCGTATCCTCCATATGTAAATTTCTTTGAAAATACAAAACAGATGTTGGAAGAGTGCGATCAAAACAAACCACGATTTCATGCCTTTTTAAAAAATTGCCAGACAATACCGGAATGCGGTAGACAAAGCTTAAAGGAGCTGTTAATTAAACCAATACAAAGGTTACCCAGTATTAGTTTATTATTAAGCGGTAAGATTAATTACTTTCAAATAATATTATGTATTATAAATTTTTGCGAACACCAACGAAATGCTTTTATTTTTTATAGATATTCTTAAGCATACGGACAAAAGTAATCCAGACTATAGCGCATTAGAAGCTTCTATTAGCTGTATTAAAAAAGTGATGACGTATATAAATGAGGACAAAAGGAAAACGGAGCGCCAGTTAGCAATGTTCGATATCTTTAATGAGATTGATAATTGTCCACCGCATTTAGTTTCCTCGCATAGGTCATTTATCAGTAAATGTGATGTAATGGAAGTTACGGAAGGTCTTAGCGGACGAGGTGATCATTTAGTGTTATTCCTGTTTACCGATACTCTCGAAATATGCAAGAAAAGATCAAAAGCTTTCAACTCGTTAAAGAGTCCTAATACTATAAATGGCTTACAATCAATTAAACTAAGCCAAGGAAAACCGTATAAGCATATCAAAATGTTGTCGCTAAGTACTATAAGAAAAGTCGTGGATATACGAGAAACTGACGGTACGTAAATATTGATATGTATATAAAATATGCACATTATGAAATAAAAATTATAACTAGTTATACAATTCTTTCAGAATGTCACAAAGTGTTCGCACTCGTGGTACGAGGGACTCAAGAACTGAAGGAAAAATTCTTTTCGTTTATAATTACTGATGAAGAAGTAAACAAAACGAATTACCTACAGACTTTGTGCAGACAGATGGCTCTTGCTGTGCGTGTAGCTGATGCTGTAAGTTATATATTATTTACTTATATAAAAATTTTATAAAGTTTATCGCAAATTTTATTGGCAAAAAAAGTATAAATTGATGCAAGGTTTATTACATATAAATAGTCTTGATAAAGTGTTAGTAAAAATTTAGCAAACTAAGATGGCATTAATGCAATTGCCTGATAGAAGGATTTATCATTTGATAAATTCTGTCATCAATATGCCATTGCATCTTAATTCTGTCAGCAGTTTATGTTAGGCGAACTTAAAGGGTGCGATCCACCTAACGTTGCAAATGCTTTGAAGCATTCTTTAATTGATCAATTCGTAAAAGTCTTTTCCTTTGATTGATCAACGAAACATTTATAGTTTTAAATGGATTGCACTAAAAAAAAAAAAAATGCAAAGATAGTTGATTTTATCTCCTGTAATTTCTGTTTTTGTCCACTGGCAAGCTATAAATTTAGTTTAAATGTCATACTATTTATTCTTTGTTCATCAGGATACGTTACTCATTAGATACGATTCGCATCAGCTTGAAGTTGGTACTAGCGATGTGGCATCAGGAACATTAAAGAAAACAATTAAGTAAGTATATTTGTGTTTTGAAACGATAATTATGCATTCTCTTTGCCAGTTTATATATATCAGTATTTTAACATTATACTATAGTAACTAAAAAGTAATAGTAGTCTGTCTACATATTAGGATAAATAGTAAATTGTCTTTTATGGGATATTTATCAAATGTTATAAAAGGTGTGAGGACTGACTTCTTTCTTCTCTTCTACTGTTGTAGTTAGATGATTCTATTATTTGATCACATTGAAATATAAAAGAGTTAAATTATTTATAGACATACTATATTGTTCAAATATTAATAGAAATCTTAAATTTTTTGCTCAACAAATATTTTGATTGAAAAGATAATGTGAGTTGATAGTTGATACTAGCAAACTTAATTATTAATAACTAAAGTCGCTTCATATTTGATTTTTATATTCAAGATTGTTTAAGTACAGTCTTAATATGTCACAAACCAATTAGAAGGCCGTAGTATCTTAAAACATTATTTGAGATAGTCTTGAAATAAAAACGGACTATAAATATTGGCCGAAGAATGTTATTAGTTTATAACTAGCTAGATGAGTGAATAAATTATTTGTTGGGCAGCAAATTTATGAATTTATTGTTTATATTCAAACGATCTATATAAATGGCACCGACATAATTTTATAAGGCACAATTAAAAGATTTATATATTAGTGTACATATTCTACTGCATTGCATGATGTAAAGAAATAATGGGGCAAACCGTTTGGTTACAGGAGCCTATTTCATAATTTTTACCTGGAGTATATGGACCCGTATGTCTTCCTACTCAATAGCATGTGTGAAACCACGTTACATGTCCCACTACCGTCAGTTTTCGCACCAAGGCTGATTATATTTTTTTACTTGCTTTTTATTCTCAGTCCCTTACTCAGTAGCATAATTATTATTAATAAACGCGCGCGCGCTGGTATTTAGAGTACTTAATAATACAGTTCGTTATATTAATGGATTTAAAAATATTACAAAACTTAAAGTAAAACATGAAAGTATTTTTAATAGGCTTACATAAAACATTAATGATTTTTAACATGTTTAATCTTACAACTGAAATAGAAAAATACAATCTTTTTAATTTGTGTTTCTAAAGACTAAAAATTTATAATTATGCTACTGAAAATTTTTATTTTTAAAATTTTGTTTTATGGTGTGATGAATATAGATATAATTTTATTTAAAAATAATTTTTTGGCCCATTCAATTAATTCAAGTATAATGTAACATAATTAAGCTTTACTTATTAAAAGCTTTATTACATTTTTTTAAACGAAGACTAAATGTTATATATTTCTATTTTTTGAATATATATTAGCATTTTTTAGACTTATTGTGATTTTAATTTATTATAACTGACATGGATAAACATTCTGCATTATATTTTAATTTGCAATTTGATTGCTTAGTTTGTTAAAAAAATATTAGTGTTGCTTGATTAATTTTTTTCAATAGTTTATGTATATATATATATATACACACACATACATATAAGAAAATCAAAAATATACATTCACGTACATTTTTCTTTTTTTTTTTAGTAGCTATCATTTCTCTTATTGTGCAGCCACGGTGCAATTTTCACTATCTTTAATTACCGCATATATGATTGAATGTATTTTATTATGTTTTTAAAAAATCTGCATGTATATCTTATATTTTTTTTGTATTATAGTAGGTGAAATTCTGTCTGCTTGAGCTAGTTTTCTTGATCCGATAAAAAAATGTTTGTGGATTTATAACGCAAGATTTTCTGTTCGCAAACTTTTTTTCCTCCAACCGAAATAGACTATATTACTATATAAAAAAATGTTATGTTAAATTACATGAAAAAGATATTATAATTACTAACTTGGAAGGAGGAAAGAAAGTTTTAATGTTGTTTAAACGATTTCATAAGTATATGAGAAAGAACATTAAAAAATATTCAAATTGTATTTTTCTCCAGGTTTGCATCTCGTACAAGAGCCAGAGTCGGTCGAGCGTTTAGTTTCAATAAAACGCCAAGCAAACTAAATAGAGCTATGTCTACAATTATGTCTCCGTTTGGAGTAACTCAAAATCTTCCTCCATCAAATCAACAAATAGCTCAGATGCGGCTAGGTAGTTGCAACAATATCAGCGTTAGTTGACAATCTTTTATATACATTTTTTTCTGTTAATGCTTTCTTTTTCTTCTTTTGCTTTTCATTTTCTTTTTGCTTTTCTTTTGCTTTATATTCATTATAAGCTATTATTTCTTCCACTAATCTTACTTTAATAATCTTACGTATGGGATGATAACGATAATTATGCATTCTCTTTGCCAGTTTATATATATCAGTATTTTAACATTATACTATAGTAACTAAAAAGTAATAGTAGTCTGTCTACATATTAGGATAAATAGTAAATTGTCTTTTATGGGATATTTATCAAATGTTATAAAAGGTGTGAGGACTGACTTCTTTCTTCTCTTCTACTGTTGTAGTTAGATGATTCTATTATTTGATCACATTGAAATATAAAAGAGTTAAATTATTTATAGACATACTATATTGTTCAAATATTAATAGAAATCTTAAATTTTTTGCTCAACAAATATTTTGATTGAAAAGATAATGTGAGTTGATAGTTGATACTAGCAAACTTAATTATTAATAACTAAAGTCGCTTCATATTTGATTTTTATATTCAAGATTGTTTAAGTACAGTCTTAATATGTCACAAACCAATTAGAAGGCCGTAGTATCTTAAAACATTATTTGAGATAGTCTTGAAATAAAAACGGACTATAAATATTGGCCGAAGAATGTTATTAGTTTATAACTAGCTAGATGAGTGAATAAATTATTTGTTGGGCAGCAAATTTATGAATTTATTGTTTATATTCAAACGATCTATATAAATGGCACCGACATAATTTTATAAGGCACAATTAAAAGATTTATATATTAGTGTACATATTCTACTGCATTGCATGATGTAAAGAAATAATGGGGCAAACCGTTTGGTTACAGGAGCCTATTTCATAATTTTTACCTGGAGTATATGGACCCGTATGTCTTCCTACTCAATAGCATGTGTGAAACCACGTTACATGTCCCACTACCGTCAGTTTTCGCACCAAGGCTGATTATATTTTTTTACTTGCTTTTTATTCTCAGTCCCTTACTCAGTAGCATAATTATTATTAATAAACGCGCGCGCGCTGGTATTTAGAGTACTTAATAATACAGTTCGTTATATTAATGGATTTAAAAATATTACAAAACTTAAAGTAAAACATGAAAGTATTTTTAATAGGCTTACATAAAACATTAATGATTTTTAACATGTTTAATCTTACAACTGAAATAGAAAAATACAATCTTTTTAATTTGTGTTTCTAAAGACTAAAAATTTATAATTATGCTACTGAAAATTTTTATTTTTAAAATTTTGTTTTATGGTGTGATGAATATAGATATAATTTTATTTAAAAATAATTTTTTGGCCCATTCAATTAATTCAAGTATAATGTAACATAATTAAGCTTTACTTATTAAAAGCTTTATTACATTTTTTTAAACGAAGACTAAATGTTATATATTTCTATTTTTTGAATATATATTAGCATTTTTTAGACTTATTGTGATTTTAATTTATTATAACTGACATGGATAAACATTCTGCATTATATTTTAATTTGCAATTTGATTGCTTAGTTTGTTAAAAAAATATTAGTGTTGCTTGATTAATTTTTTTCAATAGTTTATGTATATATATATATATACACACACATACATATAAGAAAATCGAAAATATACATTCACGTACATTTTTCTTTTTTTTTTTAGTAGCTATCATTTCTCTTATTGTGCAGCCACGGTGCAATTTTCACTATCTTTAATTACCGCATATATGATTGAATGTATTTTATTATGTTTTTAAAAAATCTGCATGTATATCTTATATTTTTTTTGTATTATAGTAGGTGAAATTCTGTCTGCTTGAGCTAGTTTTCTTGATCCGATAAAAAAATGTTTGTGGATTTATAACGCAAGATTTTCTGTTCGCAAACTTTTTTTCCTCCAACCGAAATAGACTATATTACTATATAAAAAAATGTTATGTTAAATTACATGAAAAAGATATTATAATTACTAACTTGGAAGGAGGAAAGAAAGTTTTAATGTTGTTTAAACGATTTCATAAGTATATGAGAAAGAACATTAAAAAATATTCAAATTGTATTTTTCTCCAGGTTTGCATCTCGTACAAGAGCCAGAGTCGGTCGAGCGTTTAGTTTCAATAAAACGCCAAGCAAACTAAATAGAGCTATGTCTACAATTATGTCTCCGTTTGGAGTAACTCAAAATCTTCCTCCATCAAATCAACAAATAGCTCAGATGCGGCTAGGTAGTTGCAACAATATCAGCGTTAGTTGACAATCTTTTATATACATTTTTTTCTGTTAATGCTTTCTTTTTCTTCTTTTGCTTTTCATTTTCTTTTTGCTTTTCTTTTGCTTTATATTCATTATAAGCTATTATTTCTTCCACTAATCTTACTTTAATAATCTTACGTATGGGATGAATTACGAAGAAAATTATATTGCAATCTTTTTTTATATTTTTATATACTTATAATAAATAATTATAATAAATTACGCGCGTTAAATCTCTATATTATTCGTATGGTATTTTTATAGCAAGATATGATTTTTCAACATTTAGTAACTGTCTAAATATAAGAGATAATTGTCTAAATATTAAATGATTTTTTTCTATTAAAGTAACATATTATATATTTTTCACTTATAAATGTCTGGAATTTATGTTTTTATAATATTATTGGAATTATATTTTACTTTTGTTTGCAATACTTGTATAATTAATTTTGTTACTATATTATTTTTGTGGAAAATATTTTAATAATCATAATAAACTTTCATGCTGACTTAAAGTCAATGGACGAACTATATTAAGGATTTCATGTAAGTATGTGTTATGAAAAATATATATTGGAATCTATTTTTTTCTTAATGAAAAAATTTTTTTACTAGATCTTTTTATATAAACATATTGATGTTATCATATTGAACTCGACACTTGTTTAATTCCTCAAGACTTAATGTTTTCATTCCATCCGTAAAATTTATTATAGATTAGAGAATAATATATTTTTATAGTATACTTATATAATATAAAATTAAACTAAGATTTAACACAGTCAATAACTACATATATTGCAGTTATACATCTTATGACAAGTTCTATTTTTTCTTCTTTAAGCTGATATTTATAATTTTATTTCAATAAATTATCATTTTATATATTTTTTTCTGTATTATTTTTACTAATGTGATATATGAATTAATAATTCAACATATAATAATTATTTTTTTAGTAAAATTTTTATTTTGTATTCTAAAATGGAATCTAAATGTGAAAGCTTTTATTGATGCATTTTCTGTTTTCATATTTGAAGTATTTAAAAGGATGAAGAATGAATATATTAAGTCTTCAGTTTTATATGTTTTCAGGAACTGGATAATGGTGGTTCAAGTTCTCCAAATAGAGAGGATGTTCTAGTTGCACCTATGTCGGATCAACCGACTCGAAAAGCCCTCAGTATGGCTTCGCTGCGAAGGTTGTAATTAATATACAAGAAGTCATACTTCCTTTTGCTACAGTCGTTTAGTATTCTAAACAAAGAGACGTGCATTTTTAACAAACCACTGTGGTATGTTAAACTAATATATATCGTCTATAAATAAGACATTAGTTACATTTAACGAAAAAGGCCCGAAGACGTGCTGTAATATTTTTATCCATCACAATTCTCTGTTTCAAATAATTATAATTATTTCATTTCTCATTATTACTATTTTTATAATAGAATTTAGTACAATTTCCTAAATACAGCCTTATCCGCGAATACATCATTATAAAAATGATATTACTGTTATTAGTGCCAATAATGCCTAATTATTATTGTTATATTACTATTATTAACATCATTTATTTATTTTATGTATTATCTCTTGTAATTATTGTATATGCTTTCTTAGTTTCCGCAGTTATTCGCCGATAAGATACGATAAAAAACTATCATCTTTTTTTATATATAAATAAACGGTTCGTTCTTCGCGTCAAGTCAATTGATCGTTTTAGGAGATATATAAAATTACATTGATTCGAAGATATTTTTTTGACTCTTCTAATCGTCATTTTAATGACAAATAAAGCCAGACTTATACTATAATAGACACTGCAGGCATGTGCAAAAACTTTTCTTAATAAATGTACCGATAATTTGTAAAAAATAGCATTAATGTCTCTCATTAATTAATATATCCTATTATATTCACAATTTTAATGTAAAAAAAAAGCATTTGTTTAAAATTAATATAACCTATTTGTTTAAAAATAGGTGGATAAATATACTAGCCGATATTTAATCACAGTATGAAATGAATATGTCCTCCAACTAATAACAATAGTTTTTGTGTTTTTTTATATAAAACTGTTCTGCAATTTTAACATTTTACTTACTATTTTTTTTGTCATTTCTGTTTTTCTACTCATTAGAATTTGTTCGGCGGGAATCATACACACACAAAGGAGATCTGATCTTTGAGCTATAAAAAAAATTTATGTGCGGCTTTATCTCTCTTTGATCGTTTATCAATGAAGATATTGATGTGCTGTAATTTTTTAATAAGAGTTTAAAAATATATTTTATATTTTGCAAAAATTAAATTTTAAAATACAGTCTGGTGTATATGCATAAGGTATTTAAATCCAAAAACAGAAAGCATATTATTAAATACTAATATATACCTGCTATGTGCCAAAATAGTCAGTATACTTAATAATAAACATATTGCCAACCGTTACAAATTTGATAAAAAAAATTTTGCTTAGATAATATTATATTTCAATGACCTGTGATTTGATTGGGTTTATTACAAGAAGAGACAATGCAACTAATATTTACTAATTTTTACGTCCAAAAGATTAAAGGTAATCGCACAAAAATATAGAAATTTCACAATTTCAACGTTAATATAGAATTAAAATGAGAACAGATTCGTAAAATAAATCTGTACTATACTATAAATGTTTATACAATTTTGTATCTTTATACTTTTTTCATAATTCTGCAT